AACCACATGGAAATATCAAATAGTACGGTTGTAAGCCACGTGGAAATATCAAATAGTACGGTTGTAAGCCACGTGGAAATATCAAATAGTACGGTTGTAAGCCACATGGAAATATCAAATAGTACGGTTGTAAGCCACATGGAAATATCACATGGTACGGTTGTAAGCCACATGGAAATATCAAATAAACACGATCACTTGCTTTCTTCTATCAAACAAGACAAATATTTTGTAAAAACAAACAATTATAAAGAAGTTTTAAAATTAAAATGATCTTATAAATTCATGAAGAAAAGGACCCATGAAAGATACAAGTTAAATAAGCAATGATGCTTGTGATATTCTGAACAGGGTAGATTATATGGTTAATGAATATCAAGTACTTGCAACAAATAAAAAATCTGTACCACCCCAGCTATTCTTACCAATATATTTGTCAAATAAATTCAAAATTTTGAAATACCTAACCATATACAGTAAACTATTGACAAATTAACTCTAAGTAAGAAAAACTTTATCTAAGGAATATCTTCTTTTTATTTTCCATTGCAAATCAAAGTATGCTAACAAAAATTACACATCTTTTAACCTTTATGCATGTGTCCTGGGAACCATTTCGATAAATCTTTATTTGCAAATGTATATGATTCCCGAAATCTTGGAATGACAGATGGAAACTTGGATGTCATCACAAACTTCTTCCAGATTGCACTGCAAACAGAAATATAAGTGTTATACAAAAAATTAAGGAATATAAATTCATCCATAAACATTTATTATTACAATCAAGGATTTTCTTTACATAGGGCAGGGGAGGGAGGCTTTAGTTTTTTTTTAATTTGAGTTTTATTTCTAGATGATATCTTTTGCTGTGAAAAAGATAAGACCCTTAAAACTTTACTATTTTAGACATGTAGAAATAGTTTGGGGAAAACAATCAGACAACATTTATTGACATACTGTGCCCTAGATTTTAAACAAATATAATCCATCTCCCAGAAGGAATTCTGAAAGAAAAACCCTGATTACAATGGCCAATTTTCCCAAATTAAAAAAATTTTTCCTCTGTAATGTTCACCTACATATACTCTTTTGTTATACTAAAGACAACACACCACATATATATATACATTTACAAAACCTGAATAACCCAAAATTGAAGCAATCTTGAGGTCAACCAGTGGTAAATAGCAATAAAAATGGATTAAAGATATAAACATTTAAGACTCCTCACCACTGTATACTGGAATTTCTCATTTATGAAGTGCACTGTTATCAAATTAAATTAATGCAACATTTATAAACACAGTCACACAATCTTAATACAGTAAAATAATTAGTATCCAACATTTGTCAGACATGGGCAGTGCCAGATAGGTGAAAGTTCCAGTTATGAAAGCATTTCCTTTATATTTTAAAGCAAAAATTTTGACATTTTGTTAATGTTCTAAATTGCAGTATTTCTATATCATCTATAAAAGTAACAGTTTTAAACTATAAAAAATATTAAAAACCATAAACTGAATACAAACATAAGTACAGTATTTTAAATGTGAATCACAGTATGGGTAACTAGTAACTGAAGCTTGCCAGTGGCAAAAAACATAAATAGAGCCACATCAGTGCCACTAAACTATGATGAGAATTTGCATTTGAAAGTATTGAAATTTCTGGTTACAAAAACTTTCTGGATACCAAATGTTTTACCACATATGAGACTTTGGATAATAAGCAATACTTTTTAAACTGTTATAACCACATGACTGGAAAATGTATTATTAGCCTCCTTAAGAGCTTTTATCCATACATTTATCATACCGACCATAAAATACTGGCCACTAAGTAAGAATATTATATTAAAATACCTTCAAAGTAAAAGTAAAAAAAAAAGAATGATATTGTTGCGTCAGCAAAGTCACATGACTAGTGTTATGCCACATTTCTAGAACTATCCTGTACCTTGGCGAATGCTCTAGGATTTACTAGATATAGGGTAGTCTGGTATAGATATAGGGTGACAACGTGACGGGACAATAATGTGTGTGTAAGTAATGAGTAATTCAACTGCAGTCAGAGAGAGACGTATTGTTGAAGTTAACGTTCGTTGCTATAGCGTTTGTTTTAGCGCGACTGTTGAAAACAAGTGTATCGTAAAGTTATATTCGGAAAGAATAAACTAGTTTTATTAAGTAAGCACTTGTGTCGCTAAAGTTTCGTCGGAACGAAGTTACGGGAAGTTAATTAACAAACGGAGACGTAACAATATTCAAATTGTGTCAACATTGTAAAAGAGCTATCAGTGAAGTTTTACCTATCAAGACTATTGCAATGACACTAAAGTTTTCAACATAAAATTTGGTAACTTACCAATGTATACCATTCACACATCTTATGCATAATTAATATCTTATCAATATAAACGAAGGTTAAGAACATCTGGGTAAATAACATTAAAAACTTTTTTTAGTGACAAAATTAAGTTTAAAACACAAATGGTTAAAACAATTTCATTAAAACCAAATGATTAAAAGACAAGATAGTAAATTTTACCAGATTGACACTTGAGGCTCAGCACAACACATTCTTACACAATATCACATTCCAGATTGAACAAATAATAACATTAAAGCCAAGTCCAATTACAAATTTCAATACATTTTCCATGAGTCATGGCATATCCTAGAAAGCAGAAATTACACGAACATAGTCTATAGGTAACCAGTAGAAATGTACTACCAGAATATCATGTCTTACTACCATAATCATATTTAATAACCTATGGTGAATTACAACACCCAGTAGTCACTGAGAAAAGACATTTGACTGTGTCAACATGTTTGATAGGTTTTAACCATTTTGTTTTAATGAAATTCTTCTAATCTTTTAAACTTAATTTTTATTGCACTAAAATGTTTTTGATAATATTCTATTACAAAAGTACTTGATAGTACCATTAGAAAGCATACATGTATCATATCTAATTGAGCTGAACTGGTTTAAAATCTTGTAATAGTTAGTAGCTCATATGATCACTTAAGTTCAGTTCTTAATTTTTCTAATAGATATACATTATTAACCACTTTTTATTCTATGTTCTGGCTGCTTATCTACTGCTACCTTCAGCAAGTATAAAAAAAAGGCCATTTCTGTTGTGGTCATGGCTGGGTTTTGCTTCTGGGTCTTCTAGTACATAGTATCCAGTAAAGCAAGTTTTTTGCTAATTGATAATTAGACTTAGGTGATTGTGTAAGCACAAATACCAGACTAATGATTGTATAAGCTACTATTACAAACCATGGCAACAAACAATATCTGATCACCATAACCTTACCATAAGTACTTCAATTAATAAAATTGTTGAACAGTAAATTTCAAGTTTTTTTAAATACCACCCAAGATGCAATGTTTGTTTTTTTAGAGCAAAGCCACATTGGGCTACTACTGTGTCCATTACAGAGAATCAAACCCTGGATTCTAGCATCATAAGTCCTCCATAGACTTACTGCTGTCCTACCAGGGAACTATGCAATGTCAAAGAGAATTGAAACACTGATATTAAAGAATACTACAGAAATTCTCACATAGTGATTTTAATTTTCTAGGGGAAGAGGGATAATGATTTTTGCAATTGGAAGTGACTTATGTCCACCAAGATTTTATTCCTAAATAGGCAAACATTATTCTTCGATTAATCTAGGAGCGTGAAGAATTAATATATGATAAAAATGAAACATAAAACACATTTGTTAACTATAGGCAGAGTCAGACAGAGAAAAATGAGAACCTCCTCAAAATCCTTGTAATGAAGAGATAATACAAGGCAAGCATTTTTTTAAGAGTAAAGTGAAACTGCCAAAATGCAGTATCATATACAAGATAACTAAAATAAAAAAATGATACGATCATTCTCAACTCAATATTCCATTTACAATAACACGGAGTTTGCTAGCAAGTTGCAATGAAAAAGAGTCACAGACATACTATAATTTGAAAGAAGTCTGTTTGTTTGTCCTAGGATTTTGCCTTTGGACCTTTCATAATCGGTAGAACATTAGTTCTAAAATTGTATTTCATTTTCAAAACCCATCAGTCACTTGAGGGATTTCTTTTTCAAAAATTCTTTATACATAATTTCAAAGATAGACACACTTATATTAAGTGTGATATTTTGAACCCATGGGTTACTCTTTCTTTTTGATAAAAAATAAAATACAAAACAAAATGTTTTTTAAATAATCAAGCCCAGTGGACAAGAATAATTCTATTCTTATGTATTTTCAATGTATATATATTGCCACTGGAATATAAAAAAAAACAATTTCATAAACATCTCACCATGCATTGCACAGGTACTTCTGCTACAATTTATGGATATATTATGATTTATAATAACACCCAAATATCATTTATAGTAGTTATAAGTTATATTAGCAATTAGGTTTGTAAGCCACAGTGCTAATAATAATTAACCCATAAACCATTTATATTAGTTATAAGTTATATTAGCAATTAGGTTTGTAAGCCACAGTGCTAATAATAATTAAAAATTTGATAAAAAAATATGACATGTGAGTAATACTAAGAGTAATAACACATTTCCACAGAAACACAAATTCAACTAGTTCAAGTCAACCGAGTTCTGTTCAGAATTTGTCAAAAATCCTAAAAAGAGATATTACTTGTTTTAACTTATAAATTTAAGTTACTAATTCAGAAAATGTTTTGGTCTGACAAAATATTACTAGGTTATGGTGAAGGAGAAGGCCTAAACTCTCTGTGCAATTTTTTAACCTGTGAAGGTAGCTTAGATACTAAGATAGGCAATATGAAATATGGAGAAAATATATTTAATTTTTCAATAAAATGGAAAAATTACAAAATATTTTAATTTTATTATAAACGTATGCAAGAAATCAGTATGATTGTTTTTTGACTATTTTAAATACTATTCGTAATGTGGATAATCCAGAGTAATAAATTACGTAATAATTAGTTTATAATTATAGTGCTATTTATTTATCTTTTTAATAATCAACGGAGTACGAAAAATATACCAAGATTTTTTACCTCTAAATTCAAAAATATTTTCTTCTTCTTGCCTTTAAATCCAGGCTGACTTCATTACAAGTTCCAGTTCCTTATCCCAAACATTTCTGATATGGAAAACGAAATGAAAGAATATATAAAAAAATTAAAAATGGTAAATCTATGTTTTTGAAATCATATAAAATACAGGGATTTATTATAATAGGAAATAGTTGGTTGTTTACCTTGTGATGGGTATCACACCAATTGACTTTCTTT